TAACTTCTTAAATTATTTATTCACCCAAAAACTTCCTAAATTATTTATCTAAAAAAGTTAAAAACTTAATTAAAAAATCACTTTTTACTATCTTTTCAAAATAGGCCTAAAAGAGTCTTTACTAGTAGTTGAGGAGTTGGACATTAAGGCCCCGTTTGTTTGGAAAGTTAGAGGGGGGATTGAGATTGGTAATGAGGCGAGACCCACTAATATTGTGTTTATTTTGAGAGATGGGGAGGGAAGTGATAGTGAGCTTCGGATTAGAATGAGCCTCCCCAAGGGGATTTGGATGGGCCTCCAAGATTTGGTATTAGAAAAATAGTCTGACGGACTAGAAATTTTTTTTTATTATTTTATTTTTTACATGTTAGACATTTTTTTTGAATAGTAATGTTTAATTTTTTGTATTTTTTGTTAAGTAAAAATCATTATTTTATTTGTTTTTTTTTCTAGTAATTTTTTATTTTATTTTTATTTTTTTTAAAATTTTTTATATGTCTGGCATTTTTTTTAAAACATTAATGTTTAATGCTTTTGTATTTTTTTTATTTGTTTTATTATTTTATATATAAAATAATTTGACAATCCCTATATTGACAATTATCATTAAAATAAATATAATTTTACTTAATTCTCTCACTATTAATCTTCTCACTGATAATCCCCTCACTATCAATACATTTCATTCTACCTCTGAAAATAAACAGGACTAAAATTTAAATGAACCTACCAAACAAGTGATACCTACTGCATATAGGGATACGCACGCACTTCCTTGAAATTGTTTTGAGCCACATCTTAACCCCAATCCCACGAAAATCTGAGTGAAAAAGGTGGATAGAAATTACGTCTTATTTGGTTTAATTTTGAGAGATAAATTTTTTTAAAAAAATTTAAAATTTTGTTTTGTTTTGTTTTGTTTTGTTTAGTAATTTTAGAAAAAAAAAATTTTAAATCACTTTGTATCTCTTATAAATCAATCAATCACTTTTTTTTCTCTCATTTCTCCTTCTTAATCACTTTTTCTCTCATACACATCTACTTAACCACAACAAAATATCAAATCATTCCAAATTTTCATAATTTAAAACTATTTTCAAAATATACAACCAAATAAACTAAAAAATTCTTAAACTCTTTTTTCAAAATTTTTTTAAAAAATTTATCTTTTAAAATCAAACCAAATAAAGTCCACGTCTCCTCATAGAGACTCGAATCCATCGCCACTTGCAGTTGCTCATTAAATTCAATGGGAACGAGCTCCCCCCCGCTTTGTAGTAAAGATCAAATATAAAGCTATTGTTTATTTGAGCTTCTAAAATTTATTTTTTGAAAAATTTTCAAAAAATAGTTTAGTGGAAAAAAAATGATAATAATAATAAATAATAATGTTGGTCTACAATGTCACTATGTATGATTGCTCTAAAATAGAATTGTGTGGCGTGATGTCAAATATCATAAAAGACATAAATGAAACTCTTCTTATCGCCAATTGATTTTATGAAAGATGGCGGGAGTTTGACAAAAAAAAACTTATTCAACTTAATTGGTTTCATTTTTCTGAAAAGAATTTTCAAAAAATTCTACTTTCTTATTTTTCGTATTTTTTGTTTTTACTGATTTTTTTAATATTTTGATGTAGGAGAAAATTTTAAGAATTTTTATATTTTTAGTTTTAATATTTTTGATATATTATTTTATTAAGATTCTTGTAATTTAGTATAAATATTTTAGAATTATTAGGTTTCTTAATTTTATTATTTTAAAATTAAATTTTGACTAGGATTTTAAATAGTTTAGAATTTTAGTTTCCTATTCTCTTAGGTTTCTTAATTTGTGTTGATTTAAGTTTCTTAATTTATTTTAGAATTACTTTTCTTACAAGTATTTGATTTAGTTTATTATAAATAGCTATGTAAACCTCATGACAAATTCAACTTTTATTCAATCAATAATATTAATATATTTTCTCTTTCTTGTGGATTCAAGATTCTATTTTTCTCGTAGATTCGAGAGCCCCTTTCGTTTACTAGAACGATATCTAGTCCCTGTGTATTCCGCTGCATCAAGTGAAATCAGAGCATAGATTCGCCTAGTTCAATGACACAAGACAATGGAGAACACAATCCCTATTGACGTTGATCATATGGTGGAAGTCATATGGAAAGCGATTGAGGAACATTGACTATAAGTGTATGAACTTCGCAATGAGATTTACAATCTACTTGCCGATTTGGGACTAATCGTTAACCAGAGGCAACCAATAGTTGACAGCAATTTCGTTGAAGGATTCACCCGAGGCTAACCTATTAGCTTATGCTATTTTGCAAAAACTTCATATTGTAATGGTTCAAGTAAGTTTCAAAAAGAAGATTTTCTTGATTGGTTGCTTGATCTTGAAAATTTCTTTGAATTCATGAAGATTTCTCATGAAAAAAAGATTATATTTGCATCCTACAAACTTGATAAAATTGCATTGAAGTGGTGGAATGAATTACATGATTATCGAGTTTGCAAAGGTAAAGACAAATTTCATTCATCGCTAACAATGAAAAAGTTTTTGGCAACAAAATTTTACTTTCATGATCTTGAAGATATATTGTCATATACAAATCAAGATACTTCCATGGAGTTGGTAAAAATTTGCAATGAAATTGTAGTTGCAAAAGAAAAGAATTTGCATCCAAATATTATTTGTGGTAAGATTGTTTGTAAAATTAATGAAGAACATACAAAGTCTTGTTTGAGTGCTGATAATTCTTGAACACATGATAATTTGAATATTAGGGAAAAATTTTTACAAACAAATTATAAAACTATTGAGGAAGAAGGAGATCTGATTGACCCCAGTAACAAAGAGAAAATAGAAGAAGAGATAATACAACCGCTGCATACAACAAAGAAATTGGTTGATACTAAACTTGATATTCCAAAGTTGATAATTGAAGGATCAATTGAATCTGGGATGGTGCAACATCAAGAGAGCATTCAAGTTCTGCATGAAGTTAATTTGGTTGATTTTCTTGGTGTAGAGCAATTTAATTTAATTTTCAATACTTGTCTAATTGATCTTGTTAACCATTTGAAACATATAGAGAATAACTTTGAGAAAGTAGACTTCTCTGCATATAATTTTTGGAAAAGGAACAAACAACTGCAATATTCCAAGTATCTTTTTATTTGGCATGAACGATGGCAGATCTCTAATATGAACTCGATGGCGAGTTCTTTTAAAGAAGAGGAGTCTGATGTAGGACAAGATTTTAAGAATTTTTATATTTTTAGTTTTAACATTTTTGATATATTATTTTATTAAGATTCTTGTAATTTAGTATAAATATTTTAGAATTATTAGGTTTCTTAATTTTATTATTTTGGAATTAGATTTTGACTAGAATTTTAAATAGTTTAAAGTTTTAGTTTCTTATTCTCTTAGGTTTCTTAATTTGTGTTGATTTAAGTTTCTTAATTTATTTTAGAATTACTTTTCTTACAAGTATTAGGTTTAGTTTATTATAAATAACTATGTAAGCCTCATGGCAAATTCAACTTTTATTCAATCAATAATATTAAGATATTTTCTCTTTCTTGTGGATTCAAGATAATATTTTTCTCGTGGATTCGAGAGTCCATTTCGTTTACTAGAACGATATCTAGTCCCCGTGTATTCTGCTGCGTCATATTTTAAGCCTTTTTTTAAAAATTTTTAGACACACTTAACATAAATACACATAAAAGTATAATTTTTGTGAAAAAATCTTTTAAAAATTCAATAAATATCAAAAATATAAAAAAATACAAAAATTTAGTATATTTTTCGTATTTTATATATTTTTTAATTTTTTTAAATATTTTTTTACAAATTTTTTACTTTTTAGATACATCTAAATAAGGTGCATTTAAAAAAGTAAAAAAAAATGCTTAAAATTTTAAAAATATTCACTAAAAACAAAAAACACACAAAAAATAAAAAAACTCAATTTTCAAAAAACTTAATCCAGAAAACTCAAACCAAACACATTAATTATGTTTTATTAGATTTTCTGGTGAATATAATTTTAAAAAATCTAAATGCCTTTTAATATTTATTTTGGCAAAACTAATTTTTAATTTTTCAAAAATAAGTTTTCAAAACAACCAAATCGAGTGTTGTTATGCAATTTGGAGGCTAGTGATTTCTTTTCCTAAAACTTGTCCATAATGCATTCTCAGTTATATTACGTAATGAAAATTCTAAAATATGAAAATCTCCAAAAACCAAACGAGAATTAAATTGGGGGATGGGAAAAGAATTCTGAACAGAGTGGATCCGTGCCCAATTTGAAGGCCTAAAGAAGCTTGGTCCACTAAGCCAGGCTTTGTATCATTAAACTGGGCCTAGAGATAATTAAATAAAAACAACTCTTTATTGTTGCATATTTTAAAGGCACAGTTACGAGCTGTAGATTGAATTTATTTATCCAAAAAAAAAAAAATTCTGATTTTCAGTGATAAATTTATTACTATAAAAAATATAATTAATAATAAAAAATACAATTCACTTACACTTCTCACATTATATTTCAATACAAACAAACACAAATGAACTAAAAATTAATCAAAACTTACAAACAAAGTTGCACATCTAATTTTTATCATATCATAATCTAGAATGGTGACAGTCTGTGCTTATTATATTATCAATCTAGCTTGTCTCCACTTTTGTAGTCCATCACGAGTCCTATTTTGATCACGAATTAGATTGTTAATATGTGAATCCATGTAGCTTACAAAAGTTATGTTTGTTTTGAATAATTGCATTGTAAATAAGAGTCTCATATGATTATAAAACCCTCAAAGAGAGGATTAGTAATCCCATGGGGTGTGGGCTGCTAATCCAATCTCATGCGATTGAAATTAAAAAGACTTTATTACCTCTTTTACAAAAACAACAAAGGCACTTTTTATATAATGAGTGATTTTATAAATTTAATTCTAACAAACTAATATTACAACCACAATGCATAAATAATACAATTTATCTTATATCTCCAACTTAATTACACCACACTAATAATTCTCTCACTCAAATACTAGTACATGAACTTACATTATTGTAAAGGCAAACAAAGTACCAAAACATAAAACATTAAATTGGTTAAAAAGGCCGCACCCAATTTAGGAAAAAAACACACAAGTAGGCTTCTCATTATTCCATCAAGTAAATAGCGGTTTCATAGAAGCCCATTATTACCTCAAAATCCTGAAATATAAGATTGGACACGCTTCAATTTGGTACAAATCTTTTGTTCCAAAATTCTCTTTATCCCTCCTAATACAATCTCAGCTATAGGTTCATGTTATGAGATTTCGATATCTTTAGATTTTCACAACATACTTCTAACACTGAGAATGTATTAAGACAAAGAAATTTGGAGACAAAAATCTGTATCTGTCAATTTTACGGCCTAACTTGGATGACGACTTTTCCAATATTGGAGCTAGAGAAGATGGATGCAAAACTCTCCAAGAAGCTCTCAATCCCATTGTAAATTTTGTATTTGGAATTAATCTTTCCTTCTTTAAGGTAACCTTCCATCTCCTTCATAAAGTCCCCAAATCGATCCAAGTATGAACCCACCAAAAAGCCTTCCATCCTCACTTCTTTGCCGACCATGTTGAGTAGATTCCTCACCCCTTCTCTCTCTGTCCATATCTGCATAAAAAGGACAAATTTCACAGTTAGGAAACGAGTCCCACATGCTCATTGACATAATAAATATGATCATGTACAGCATGTATTATTTGTATACATATGCATGAACAAGAACAACTGTATTCGTTTACGTAAGTTAGGAACTTTGGTGACGACAATGGTGGTGAGGTGGCGATTTACGTACCTTGTTGTATTGAGAGATCATGCCACAGAGTGGAATTCGAGCACCCTTGTTAACATGGTTGAGGACGGCCTCTAGCATCTTACCACCAACATTTTCAAAGTAAATATCGATGCCATTTGGGAAATACCTGAAACATTAATTTTATAATTAAGTAGGGTTCAACAATCATTGACATAGAGTTGCAATCCCAGTTAATGTTGTTGATGAATTAAAATCAAGCCTAAACATGTAAAATGCCTCCCAAATAAGGTAGTAAAATTGAAAGTGGCGAGTGTTGGAATGTAAAGAATTTTGGGCTAATTGCACTTTTGGTCATTAAATAATGTATTTTGTATCATTTTAGTTTGTAAATTATGTACTTTGTGTCATTTTGGTCTTCAACATTAAAATTGTGTGAACTTTATTCTTGAAGTATTAAATGTGTGTTAAATTGGTTCCAAGGCCGGCCCTGAGGCGAGGCCACTAAGGCTGTCGCCTCAGGCCCCCAATTTTGAACAAAATTTAAGGCCCCCAATTAGAGGAGTGTATCATGTCGTATTATTTCATAATTACTTTAATATTAGTTTAATTCATTTATTTTTATGTTGTTGTATAGTGTTATTTTGATTCGTATCCGATTGATATTTAATGTGAAAATTTTTATTTTTAGTTAAAAATAACTTAACAAGTGTATGAAGAGATTAAAATTTTTCCCATAAGTTGAATTTTATAAAATTTATTTCTACTAAATGAAATTATTCATAGAATGTTTGATTTTAATTCAACTGCATTTTTCTAATTAAAAAAATTGTACCTTATTACTATATACTTTTTATTAGATTGACTCTAAAATAGGTAACCAAAAAATACATATCTTAAATGAAAAAAAGAGGTTAGCCTTAATTATTATTTTACATAATTTTTTATTCAGTTAGATGGAGTTAAATAAAAGATTAAAAAAATGTCATGACATCCCTTCGTGGATATTAAAATATATAACTAATAATTCATATTATTGAGTTGTGTCATACTTAGATTCATATTGAAAAATAGTCAACCCTAATTTACTAATTTTATATATTACTTGAGTTATGTCGAAAATTCTCATCCTTACCCCCAATTAATTTTAGTTCTTATAGCATTGGTAAGCTAAAAAATAAAGATTCTATTCAACTAATTGAAGTTCAACTATTTTATATATATATATATATATATATATATATTTGTAATCTAAATTTTGTTAAATTGTAATGCAATAGAAATAAATTTTTATCATTTTTGTTTTATCCAAACAATTTTTTTTTTAAGATAATGATACATGAAAGGCCCAATTTAAAAAATTCGCCTTAAGCTCATAATAACTCTGGGCCGGCCCTGATTGGTTCAATGACTAACACCATAAATATTCGTAGTTAGAATTAGGGGAATTTTGAATAAAAAATTACAAGTTACCCCAAATAAATAAATAAATAAATTCAACCCTTTGAAAACTGACATATTGAAATTAAAGACCAAAATATCACAAAACACATGTTTTTTGGACCAAAAATGTAATTAAAAAATTGATAAAATTGAAATGTTTAGGTCCAAAATGTCACAAAAACCAAAAATGTAATTGTTTTTTATTTATTTACTTATGCTGAGGTATAACTTTTTTTGTTCTCAAGACACTCCTAAGCTGACGATGAATAGTAATTGTGTCAACTATGAGAAACACTTCAGATTAATTGCATTTGTTGTACTCGATTTTCATATCGAGTTTCTCTAAAATTATTTCCAATTATTTCTTAATTAACTTTCATAGTTACAAATTATTTGAAGCTAAATAATCAATTATTTCAGTGTCACTATGGCCACTAATCACTTTAAATAGAACTATGTCTTAATTGAACTTAGAATGATGGTTTCACTTAACCACAACATCTTCTTTTTTTCTTTTTCTTTTTCTTTTTCTTTGTCTTTTTCTTTTAATTTGTAAAGAAAAACCATGCTTAAAAATAAATAAATTACTTGCTTAAAGCAGCATCAAAATCAGTCTCTTTGTTATAGTTGAATGCATCATCGTATCCGAATTCCTCCTTCAACAGCTTCACCTACATAGTGGACGAAAATGAAATGCAAAAATATTTAGAAGTTGAAATTAAAAAATAAAATAAAATAATCACAGCGAAACTATTGGTTGAAAGGTGAAGGGATGACCTTAAAAACCTCAGTGAACAGAGGTCAGGGGTTAAAAAAAATCATATCAAAATTTTTATAGTTTTTCATGTTTGGTACAAAAGATGTCACAAATCTCGAAATGCTATATTACTGATGTCACCTTTTTATTGAAAAAAATATATTGGAGTATTCCTAAAATGCATTGAACCTCAGTTTCATAATGTCATTGATGCAAAACAACCAATTGTATATAAATATTTTGTATTCAAAAAATTTAATGCTTAGAATTTGAATTTGTTGTGTAGATTTTAATTTATTGTTGTTTTAGCTACCCCTAAAATAAATTTGATCCACATATTTCTAATTTTAGATACTTTTTGTGTATTTTCTTTGAAATAATGAAAATTTTCTTTGAAATAATCTTTTCCTAAAATAAAAATATCATAATACCCTTATTTTCTTCAATCCAAACTCTAATTCTAAGCACTATAAACTATTCTCCATCACCCGTGCTACCTCTCTCCTCTACCATCCTCTCCTTCCTCCTCTACCTACAACAACCTTCTGTCATGAATTATACACCCCCACAAACCCCACCACGAGACACTCATTTTCGAAGTTGACTTTGGTGATCTAGGATAGAAGGGAATAATTTGGGAGTGGCAGTGGGGGTGGCGATGGATGGTTGTGAGTGGCGATAATGGCGGTGAAAAAGGAGTAGGTAGATTGAAGAAAAATTAGAATTTTGAAATTAAAGATAAGAATATTATTAGAATAAAAATATGTGTACTGAGAATTTTTATTTGTTTTTTGATGTGTATTAAGAAGATATTCATTAAGTGTGTGCACAAAAAGGAATTAGTATGTCAAAATAGAATTACCCAATGAAATTGCAAACTTCGAACCATCTTTAACCTTTTTTTCCTTTTCTTTATTTTGACAATCACTATTTTGTCCTTGAATTTCTTATGATTGTTTTAATGAATTTGAGTAAAAATTTAAAAAGAAAAAGAAAAAATGGGTAAAATATTAATAAAATATAGTTATATTTCACTCACTTTTTTCGTTTCTCTTTTCAAATCTTTATCTAAATTTATGATTCAAACACAGTCTAAACGAAAGAGAAGGAAAATGAATTTCTCTTTTCAAATCTTTATCTAAATTTATGATTCAAATACAGTCTAAATGAAAGAGAAGGAAAATGAAAAGAATAGAAAAATATAGCTATAATATGACTCTATCTATTTTTATTATTTTATTTTCAAGAATAGCAAAATACTTTTCAAAAAGAAATGAAACCAAACGTGTCCTTCCTTACTTTATTTGTTTGTGCGAGAAAATTATTAAAAAATTTGACGTCACCTGAATAAGTACACTTCTTTAGATAAGTGTACTTATTTGGATCATATTATTTTTATATTTTTTTACATATTTTTTTTTATAAAAAAATTAAAAAATACATTTATTTATCAACCCAAACAAAGGATTTCATGCCACCTCTACATTGAACCTAGACCCAGGTCCAATCAAGTGACCACTTAAAATTAGGCCTCAAAATAACTATTGGGCATGTATTCCAGCCCATTTTCTTTTTAATGGTATAGGCTTGATGATGTGAGAAAACTACAAATCGACCGAAAATAGGTGGTACACTACACCCGCCCATTCAATATTTTATTAGTCTTATAGTAAGAGCGTTTGACTTGTCTTCTTAAAAAAATAAAACAAACAAATATTTTTCCAGTCCAATGTTCACACATTTTAATTGTGTGAACAAAAACCCAACTTTTCATTAGTTTATAACTGTAGGTGACTTAATAGAAAGTTGTGTTTGATTCACACATTTAAAAATTTTATTTTTATTTTTTTGAGGCGCATTATAATATATTACAGAAGGTAAACTACCAATAGGTTCTAATAGTTAGACACTACAAGAAAATTGGGTATATGAGACAGAACTATTTGCGACGGCACACTTGCCGTCTCAAAAAGTCACTTTTTGCGACGGCAGAAAATGCCGTCTCAAAAAAGCAGAGCATTTGCGACGGCACCATTTGCCGTCTCAAAAAATGAGAGTATTTGCGACGGCAGAAAATACCGTCGCAAATACTCTTATTTTTTGAGACGGCAAATGGTGCCGTCGCAAATGCTCTGCTTTTGATTTGAGCCCAAAAACCAGCCTTTTGAACTCCAAACAAACCCTCAAGGACCTCAGCTCCAAGGTAGTGGTGTTTGACTAGGTGTTCCTTTGCAAAAGTGAAAAGAAAACACACTTTGGGGCACAATTAAGCATAATATAGAGAAAGTGAGAGTGAGAGTGAGAATTCTAGAGAGAGAGAGAAAGATGTTTTGTCTCTAAAACTGTTGAACCTCTGAAAAGGGGAGGGTGCCTCCCCTTATATAGAGCAATGCAATGTAAAGCTTGTTTAACAAGCTTGAAATGGCCTCCATCCCTTCATATACGTGTATGGAGGATGGCTCAGTGAAAACCAGCTGGCTCAAAAGATCTAGCACAAAATCTACTAGAACAAGATGTTCTACCGGCCATCAGTGGTGGCCAACAATGCCTCATTGATGGCCAACATGCCTTATCAATGGCCAGCAGAGATAAATGCATGGCCGGCAGTGCCAAAAAGTGGCTGGCAGTGCACCACAAGAAGCATGCTGAAAGGACTAACACATGGTCCAAAAATGGGGCAGAAAGGATACAGGGTTTGGAAAGCTCAAACCTGCAACGTTCCACCGTGAAATTCGAGTACTCGACGAGCAATCGAACTTGTCACTGGATGTACATGCAAGCATATCCAAGTCTTGAGGACAGTCAAAAATGGGGTGTCTACAGTTGCCTCTCCTTGACAGAACTCGGAAGCCACAAAGTGACGGGAGTGAATGTCAAAGCCCAGAGACGACCCATTTTTGACAAGGCCGAAGACTCAGACAAACATTCAATATAATTATAGAGAGATGAGCCAGTAGGCTGGGGCAAAATGCAAACGACATGCATGATTCAAGAGCATAACTTATGATTATGCAAAGAAAGCTGTAATGATGCATTTATGCAAAATAAATACAACATTTTAAGCGAATGTAATGCAAAGAAATGCTACAGTAAACTCGTACATAAGTAAGTAAACACGAACCAAACTTCATCTCATGTAGAAAAGATGTAAGAAAATTATGCAACCTTAACTGCGCATCACACGAGGAAGGCCAAAAGTGACTACCAGGGAACACCCAAAGTCACAAATGAAACACCTCTTAGCGTATCACACGCGAGAGAGGGAATGACAACACCTCTCAGTGTATCACACGCGAGAGAGGGAAAGGTACACCTCTCAGCGTATCACACGCGAGAGAGGGAAAGGTACAAGCAGTGCAAGCACTAAAAAGTTTGTACAAACATCGGAGTGCATCCTATTGCTTCTAACAAGGGTATTAGTGTCAACACCGAGCGTACCCGAGTGTCTCTAACCAACAAAATGCCAGTGTAGACATCGGGCATGCCCAAATGTCTCTAACCGATAAGGTGATAGAGAGGAATGGGTTTACCCGGAATTCCTCTAAATGAACCGTACATACAATATTGTGCATATATGAGAGGGGAACTCGAAAGGTACGATGCAATACAATGCATATCTCATGCGAGACGAATGAGCACAACATGATGCCAAGTCATGCTCAATGCTCAACATGCAATAAGTGGAACCAAAGCATTTTCTAGGCAAGATAATCAACAATGCATATTCAATGCAAGATAATCAACGATGCATGTTCCATGCAAACATAGTAACGTACGGTCTATGCAACAACTTAGAATACATGTTCAATGCAAAATGCAAATGCTATGTGACAATAAAACCATGCTCGATAAAGGCAATTCGAAAGCAACTTCCGGTTTACCTCCTGAAAGAGTTGCAACGTATTAAAAGGATACACCTTGTGTGTGGTGATGCGTGATGACCATCGCACACTGGGAACACGATTTTGGGATGCCACAGAGGCATTTTGAATCAAATTTTGAGCACACCTTGCATTTCGTGGAACCTAAGGACACATATCAAGGTAAAAGAGGTAGGGGAAACTGGTGGATGCCTGCCGGCCATCAGGGGATGTCTCCGGCCCCCTGCCGGCCATCAGTGGCCACTACCGGCCAACAATTGCACACTGCCGGCCATCGATGGCAGATTTGGGTAGTTTCGTCCTTTTACCCATGGGCCTTTATGTAGGGGCAAAGATGGTTCATTTCCTTACAAACCCTTGCACGAAATACCCTTCTTTTGCTCTCTAGGTACTCCTTCTCTCTAGATTCGTGCATTCTACGCGTTTTCCAACACCCTAAAAACATTTTTCTTCGCAAAACCCTCTTGTTCTCTTCGATTTGAACCGATCAGAATTTGATTTAGACGCTTCTTCCGTCACTTAAACCGTTCAAGGATCATTTCCCTCGAGTTTCTCCCAAGGTTAGTATACTTTTCTGGGGTTTCAACTTTCTTTGACCTTTTCTCTCTCCTAGGGTTTACTTTATTCAAAGTTCATCATTTTTCGCATGTTTGCTCATTTTTACTCATTTCGTATCCATTTCAGATGGAAAACGATGTCCCACATGACGGGGGCTTCACCGCACTACCTCCAGCAGAGTTTACATCAGACTTCAAGGTCGAGCCTGCAGTTGAGCTTGAGCCACTACCGCCGAGCATTCGCCCATTCGATCCGACGAGGTACCACCCTGAGACACACATTATACCAATTGCCAGAGGCATCAAGGCCTTCACTGATTTCACCGAGGATGCACCAGACGACCTCTTATTGAGAGAGCCTATGTCTCACTTCTCGGCCATAGTCGTAGAGGTAAAACTTCACTTCTCTGCAATACCACCTTTAACTGTTGCATTTCTTGCACTGTTTTGATTTGATTACATCACATGCCTTGATCTGACTGTATTTCATACACTGCTGCTTCACATTCAACTGTTGTTGATACATTATTGCTCTGCATTCAACTGTACTTTCAAGGCTATGGTACCACGATAGCTCGAGATTGGTACGATAAGCTTCCAGCCGGGGTTCGTGACATCATCAACGAGACCGGCTTCGGTCTATTTTGCGCCAGCTTGACGCGGGTCACAGCGAGCCGCCCTCTCTTAGGGGCTCTTGTGGAGAGGTGGTGGGATACCACCAACTCCTTCCACTTCTCCTCCACGGGAGAGATGACAATGACTCCCTACGACTTCGCCATGATCACCGGCTTAGGCGTAGGAGGTGATCCAATCCCTCTAGATCCTAACATGGGAGAGTGGGAGGCTGCATGGGCTGCACTGCTGAGGGCACAGCCATCGATACTTCAGTCAGGTATGGTTCGATACAGCTAGTTTGAGGAGCAGTTCTGAGGAGTTGAGACCGAGACCGTTAAGCAAACCGAGTAGTATGCCAGGGGCTTTCTCATGTTCTTCTTCTATACCACCTTGTTCTCGAACAGGTGGAATACCGTAGGGGTGTACTTTCTGAACACATTGGTGGTGCTGAAGCGAGTCCCGTTCTACGACTGGGCCGGAGCCGGTCTCACCACTCTATACGGATACATGAGCTCGACCTCTCGGATGTGTGGGACATTGATAGGCGGCTACTGGTGAGCTTGGGAGGTACACAACTTAGTTTCCCCTCTTCACTTTTACATTTTCTACTCAGCAGTTCCTGCTTTACAGTTGTGCAAAACATGTACTTTTTGTATTTTTTGTATCTGCTCATACACTGTATGCTTTCTGCTTTGCATTTTCTGTACACGCTCATACCGCGCACTGTATACTACACGCTGCACACACAAAGTATAATCCCTGCTCTAAAATTGCACTTCCTACGCATTGTACTGCATTCTGCTCTCTGTATTTTTTATACTCTGTTCATACACCGT